CAGACAGAGAGAGAGACAGAGAGAGAGAGAGACACACAGAGAGAGAGAGACACAGAGAGAGAGAGACAGAGAGAGAGAGAGACAGAGTTTGCATGCAGTATGCTTTTACATCCCCTTCCTTGATGTGATGATACTTTCTGACAAAGGAGATTCCATGGTTGCCAAGCCACATCACTGTTGGCTAAAAATCGGGAGCAGCCATCATATTAATGGTACTCTGGAAGCACAAGGAACATTTTCAAGTCAGTGGCTGTGGTGGTTCATTTCTATTGGGTTCTTCTGTTTGAAATGGATTTTAAAATATGCTGCATTTGTATCCATAATCATTTATAAATCCAAAGCTCTTTCTTTATTCAAGGTTTTGTTTATACTGATTTAGTTTTAGGTTTAAATGTTAATTGCAGTTTATCAGCAAAGACTTGTTCTATTATTTATTTCCATAAATTAATAATATGTAGTAGTACAAAATATAATGTGTATCTTGAAAATTTTCTTTAGGATAAATTATCTGTCAATATCTTTACATACTTCTCTTTAAATATTACCATATCAGCATGAATCTACTTACGTCTGCAGTTCTCCATTTTTATTTGCTTATTTAACATTAATTATCCACATTTAAAATCACTTTTATAAAAAATAAATAAAATCACTTTTCTATCATTTAGCCACCTTTATTATTTTGCCTTTTATTTAATAAACTACCACTATTGCTCAGTATATATCCATATACATCAGTCTTTTTTATTTTGTCATTTATATTTCCTCCTTCTAATCTTAATCAACTATATGTTTATCTTAATTTTGTTCAAGGTTGACAATAGATTCAGTGTATTCTGTACCCATTATTAACCTTTCCCACATATACATATTTTTTTCTGAATTATTTGGAGCACTTCTTTTGGATTTCTAATGCTCAGCATCGCTCATAAAAACATAATGTAAACCTTACTCTTACCCTTTGTATATGATTGGGACCACATCCAACCATACTCATTCCAGCCTTAGAAATTTAACATGTTCTTTATATTTCTTTTGTAATTATCATTTTTAGCATTATATTCATAGATTTTTTCCATGCCTATTTTTATTCCTACCTTTAATTTTAAATATTATGTACTTTTGCACTGAGAAATTCTCCTCTATTAATATGCATGGTTTCTCTATTGTCTTTCTTTTTTTTCCAACTTTTTTATTTGAATTAGAAACAGGATTGTTTTACATGACAATCCCAGTTCTCTTCTCCCACCCGTCCTCTGCTACCACCCCACAACTAAAACCTTATCTGTCACATATCTTTTCTGCTCCCCCTGGATGGTGAGGCCTTCCATAGGGTGTCATCAGAGTCTTTCATATCCTTTGGGATAGGGTCTAGGCCCACCCCCCGTGTGTCTTAGCTCAAGGAGTATTCCTCTATGTGGAATGGGCTCCCAAAGTCCACAGCTATGCTAGGGAGAAATACTGGGCTTCTCCAGGAGGTCCTATAGATTTCTGAGGCTTCCTCACAGAAACCCATGTTCCTGGTGTCTGGATCAGTCCCATGCTGGTATTTTATTTTCTTCATCTTTCTTTTTTTTCTTCACTTTCTTTGTATTTATTCTCTGTGTCTTTCACATCATGCACCTCAACCCCATTTATTTCCCAATTCATTCATATCCTCTCTCTGCCTTTGCAAACCTTCCCCAAATAAAAATAAATAAAATTTAAAAGAATAATTGTGTCATGGAAGTGAGTCACACAGTAAAACGTTTTGTCAGTATATTTTTGTTTGCAAGTGTTCATTAGAATGAGTCATTAATCTAGTTAGAGATCCATTATAAACTATTTGGCCTATGGCTCAGGCTTGTTATTATCTACATATCTCTTAATTATTAACCCATTTCTATGAATCTGTATATATCCATTCTTGGCTTACCAGACAATTCCCTGGTGACCTATCTTCCTGGTAGTTACATGGTATCTCCCTTGAGCCTCACTCTCTATGTTCCATTTCCCAGAATTCTCCTAGTCTGGTAGCTCTACCTATACTTCCTGCCTGGCTACATCCTGCCTGTCCACTGGCATAAACCGCTTATTCATCAACTAATAAGAGAAACATATTCACAGCATACTGAAGGACATTCTCTATCGCATTAGAATGTGTATGTGTGTGTATGCATTGCTTTCACATGCATATATATGTATATATGCACATACATATATATGAAGGTGAGAATGTAATTATTTCACTAGTCCAAAAATAAATGATAAATGAGTGTTTATTTGAGAACAATTACACAGAAAAATACAGAGAATTGAGGGAACATTTCTCTGCCCTTCCTACTGAATCCACTGACCTACCAGAAAGGAAG